TAGTGGGATTGTAAAGGACACGAAATGGATTATTTTGGGTTAAAAGGCACGAAAAGAAGAAAATAAGTTACGGTTTGGGGAAATGGGCTAGGAAAGGGGTTGGTGATGAAATGTATTGAATGGAAACATATATTTAAGAACTCCAAAGATTAAATACTCAACCCAACCAATAATGGCGGTGAAAAGTTTTTCATCATCTTGTTTGGTTTTGGGGAGACATTTTTAGGTGTCTACAATGGTATTGGCAAAATTTTTTTTTTCCTTAATTGAATGGAACCTTTCATTGGATTTGGCTTCTCTAGAGACAGCCGGTCCTTAATCTCCATAAGGATGGAGTTGTAGTCCTTGTTAAACTTGTACTTGGGGACGTACGGTTTAAATTTTTTCTTTTTCTTCTAGGACGGCCGGTTAGAATCACCCACCGCCCAGACTTCTTTTGTCTTATTGCTCTCTTCTTTTTTCTTTTCTGGCTGAGCAGGTCGGCTGTCTTTTTGTTTGTCAGACTTCTTAGAGTCTGACTGACTACCAAGCGAACTGAGGTCGGTTGCTTGGATATCGCTTTTTGCCTCCCTCATGGCCGCCTGTAGGATGAATGCCCATTTTCTGACAAGTTCAAACTTAAAATTCGACCCGTCTCTCAGACCCTTAAAGAAGTCTGCGAAAGCTAATTTGTCAAACAGTCCCTGAATCTGAATTCTGGTCAGATTGAACCGCCTGACGTAGGAGCGTAATCCTTCTCTCCCTCCCTGCTTAATGATGCTCAAATCAAGAGTTGTTTTCTTCGCATGGATGTTCATTGAGAAGTTGGAAGCAAACAAGAAGGCAAGCTTCTAGAAGCTATCAATGGAACCGGCTGGCGAGTTGCCAAACCATTGTTGGGCAACGTCCTTCAATGTAGCCGAAAAGCATCGACACCAAGTGGCATCGTCTAACCCCTGTAAATACATGAAGTTGGTGTAATCCATGAGGTGATCTTCCGGGTTGGAGGTACCATCATAAGTACCTACCAACACATTTTTAACCTTGGCCGACTGTGCCGCCTCGGTTATTTCCCGGGTCAACACAAAAGGTTGTTCACCTAGGCGGAGTAGACGAAGCTGCCAATCTAGTGGCTGGACATTGTTGTATGCCGCCTGACCTCCGAAGAGAGACGGCTGCATGAAGTGAGGAGAATACGGGTCGACCATATGCGGTACGTACGGTGCATTCCCAATCATTTGAGGGTCATAGTGGACGGTATTACCGCCTGTATGGCTCTCATGCAAGGATTGCACATTCCCTGCAGATGTATTCTTAAAGCTGTTTGGAAAGCTTCAAGTGGAAGCTGACTCAGACAACTGTTGATTCCTCTTGCGGGTGATGATCTCCTGGGCATCAAGAGTTGTTTTTTGTTTCCCAACGGTTGTTCACTCCGGCGGGTATTTTTGGTATTCATCTGGGGTAAAAGAATTTTGGACCAGTCAAGGATCCTGGCTGCCTTATCCTTTGGATGCGGAGTTGGCTGCCTGTCCCTGACTGGCTTCTTCTTTTCGAGAGGATTCTTTCTTGCCGACTGACCCTTACTTGGGCCAGTCTGGCTCTTAGTGATCAGATCCTTGATTTCACCCTTGAAACTAGTCATGAAATTCATGAGTTCATCCCGGGCGATTGGGGCAGATCCACCTGCCGTATGGGTTTCCCCTTTCGGCTGACCAGGGGGTCGGCTTGTACCGGCCTGGCTTGCACCCCGCTCCAGAGTGTCCTTGGGCCGGATGCGCTTGGTTATCAGAGAGCCATCATTGGCTATATAAGTTTAAACATAAGGATATCGTCCTCTTGGTCAGTAAAGACCTTCGGCTGGTCTACCGGACGGTCAGGAGGTGGTACAGACTCTTGAACCATACTTGAGGTACTCTACCCACAGACGATGCCAAATATTTTGGGTGTTTTTTTCCCTTGGGAGAGTTACGTCACAAAGACTGGTCCGGCTCGAGCTGCACCTCCAAAAACACGTAGACTTCAGTTGTAGGAGCTCCGCCTCCGACGATCAAGTTAGTAACTTGAGAAGGAATAAGGAGTGCGGAAATTTAGGTGGGTATCTGCTTGGATTCCAAGCTCAAGTGTTTCTATGATGTGAGAGAAATTAGATGTAATAAATGATTGATTGTCCTCGAAATGGGGGAATATCTCCCTATTTATAGGGTCATTAGAGGCTGCGCCCCTATCTAGGTCACTTGACCTAGATTTTAGTGGGTTGCGCCGTTTTATGGCGTTCTTGGAAATTGGGCCCTTGAAGGCCGCAATTTCAGAAGATATCTGAAGTGGACACGTGTCAGATGGCTATTGGCCCTCTTAGACTAGCCTAGGCTTGACACGTGGCCTTCTCTCATTGGTCCACATGTCTAGGGTATTTTTACCCAAAACACTGGGTATGATTTTTTTTATTTTTAGGTACTTTACTTTTTTTTTGACGTGAAATTTCTGGTTCTGTGTACGTAAATATTTAAAGCTTTAAATATTCTCATCTATATCTGTACTTTACTTTTTTTTTTTAAGTATACATGTACTTTACTTAATTTGTGCTTGATTCAATAATTTCTCTTTTTTAAATTGGTTTATATTAGGAAATTTAGGATGATATGGTTGATTTTGAAATAGTTGATGATTTGGATGTATACTTTATCATAATGTGATGAATTTGCTAAGTGGAGCAATGACAATGCAAGTTGTTGATCATTTAGTTTAAGCTTCAATTCTATGAGCTCATCAATTCGTCACACTTTTCTTGTTTGGTGTGTTGTGCATGCCCACTATAACAAAGAACTTTACCTTCGAAAGTGTTATGTTGATTCTCAAAATGTAAGAATAAATGAGATTCCACTCATCGGGTTGATTAACCTAAGTTGGAAAGTCAATTTATCATAAAGTTTTATATTTTATAATATTTTTTTAATCCCGTTTTCAGTTTTGTGGGGGGAGGTAGATTAGTGGCGGTAGTGAGAAATTGAAACCTTGAAAATTAACCTATTCATATTTAGGGTTTGACTTTTAAATTCTGAAATTTTTGGGTTTTAAAGAACTTTTCTATTTTTATGATTTCAATTTTGATTGTATTTTTGCTAATTTTTGCTAGAAATTTAATTCAATTAAAGTGTTTCCTGCTCATTTTATGATTCACTATTTAAATTCAAGGTTTATCTAATTTTCTATAAATATTTTGGGATTAAGAGTGTAAATTGGGGATTAAGCAGAATGTTATTTCATGTCACAGTTCCTACCCTGCATGGTTCCAAGGCCTACATTTTCCTCGCCTCCACCTTCTGAATCTCCTTTTCGACATGTCCCAAGGGAACAAATCAATTCCCTAGGTTCTTCCCATGAAAATTCATATTCTGAGCGTCATTGCATTCATCACATCATCACCATGTGACGAACCATTCTGAAAGTTCTGTTGCAGGACCATTGAACCTGCATTCTCCTCTGCCACACGGTTATCAATGTATGTTTCATTAATTATGTTGTACCACTCTGGCTTTCTTGTTGCAAACAAAGTAGCAATTTTTAATTCAATACTCTGCAAATCAGCTTCACAAGTGTGAAAGATCTTTATTCATGACCAGTGGAATTAATAATTTCACTCATTGATAGTACAATTAGTTGTGATAAATGCTCATGGTGATTAGACTTGGACTGTTTACAATGTTTATATGCACATTCAAATATTAAAGGTAGGAACTCAGAAATTATGCAATCAGCTGCTTGTCTGATTGCTTGAATTTGGAAATAGGTGCTTGAATTATATGTTTATTACCAATATATTCTTTTGTCTTATGGAACTCTTATGGCAGCTATGCACCCTGCTCACAAGATCACTCTATCTCAGTCTCCTTATCCTTCAACCACTAACATAGTGTGTATATTATTTGGTACCTTCTAGGGTTTGGCTATGAACTTATTTTGATAAATTGATAAGGGAAAGTATCTGATTTTAAATACGATAATTGCTACTTGATCCAATGGAGACTTCCTACATTGGCACCTTAAAACTGTCAATGAGACTGAAGAATGTAAGGTAAGCAAAAAGATCTTGACACCGAGACTGAAAAATGTCAAGAGATAGGGAAGTCTAAGAGTGTTGCTACTCTGCTGAATATTAAGGAATAAAGAAACAAGTATTCATTATAATTTTGCCCAAGAAATTGAGTGAAATCAACTTATTTAACTGATTGGGCTTGATTTGATCCTGCCTTGGTTTTCAAGGGCGTCGTCCGCAAATTCATAACTCTTCTTTCTCTTTCTTAATTTTTTGATGTTGTTCTTAATTTGTCATTTGATTTGTTGAAATTTGATTTTGTTTGTGAAAATTTGGGATTAAGGTTTTGGGATCTTTGGGCTTGATTTGATTAGTTTTTTTATCTTGAATGTCAAAATTTGTTGATTTTTGGTTGATTGAGTATTTGAGTTGTTCTATGTAATTTGGGAAGGGAATCTTAGGGTTTGCAGGAAATAAGTATAAGATTTGTGGATGAGTATAAATCTGGTGACTCAAAGACAGAGTGTACATGTTGGAGTTTGATTTGGATTAGTTTTAATCTGATGGCCAAATAATTGCTATCAAAAGATCTCAGCAAGGATCGGTGCAAGGTAGTTGAGAGTTCAAAATTGAGGTAGAGCTTTTATCAAGGGTTCATCATAAGAATCTTTTGAAACTTGTTAGTTGGATTCTGCTTCAACAAAGGAGAACAAACATTTGTTTATGAATTCCGTCCAAATGGTACACTAATGAAAGTCTTTCATGTACCTTTCTTAATTAACCTTTGAACTTCATGCAAGGTACCATGATTACTATTCAGATGCCACTGTTCCATGTCACAAATTTTAGATGTTTATGGAATTTTATTTGATATATGATTCTAAAATTGTCTTTGTCCAATGATAATCCTTTGTAAATTAAATTTTGTCAGATAATCATTTGATGCTCATTTTATATATGTGGTCATCTCTAATGATACAATCATACAATGATTGTTTGGGCAGGAAATTATGCTATTCAAATGGATTGGATAAGAAGGTTGATGGTAACTCTTGGCTTTGCTCGAGGTTTGCAATATCTGCATGAACTTGCTGATCCACTAATCATATACAAGGATGTCAAGTCAAACATCCTTCTTGATGAATGTATGACTGCAAAAGTTGCTGACTTTGGTCTCTTCAAGTTGTTCGGTGATACTGATCAGAAGGTTTATGTTACCACCAAAGTCAAAGGAACAATGGTCAGTTTATGTTACCACCAAAGTCAAAGGAACAATAGCGGTCTTCCTATTAAATTATTCGAAGTACTTTCTACCATGTCTACAAGCATACATAGTCGGTGTTTATAAACCTAAGACATTAGATGGCATTAATAATTAGGATCTGATCCCACTTTCGTCTTCCCACCTGGTTTGAGCAAGGGTCTTAATGAACTAGATATTTTGGCTGGATTTTGTGACATTGTTTTGCCTTGAATGTTGCGCGTGCACATTCTGGCTGCTGGCTGCAGTTGAAGAGTTTCTATCTTTAATGTTAGCTTAATTATATGCCATACATACTGAGAGTGAGTCATTCAAAGTGTTTCGGTAGTGTATTTTCATTTGCCAAATAGCATTTCACTATATAATCCACTAAAATCATCATTTACACACCAATTTACTATGTGTTTGAAATACACTGTTCTGTTCTACAAATCCAAATATTACAACAATTGACATGGGCTTCTTACCTGATATAGAGATATTTGGATCCTGAATATTTCATGAAAAACAAGTTGACTCAAAAAAGCAATATATTTAGCTTTGGGGTGGTTATGTTGAAAATGTTAACAGCGAGACAACTAATAATACAAGATGGAAAGTACATAGTGAAAGGTCAAAGAAGCAATGAACAGAAGTAAAGATTTATATAACCTTCATACAATAATGGACCCATTTCTTCTTAAAAATACAACCACATCGGTGGGTTTGGAGAAATGTGTGGATTTGGAATTGAAGTGTGTACAAGATGAAGAAGGAACTAATAGGCTTACTGTAGGCGTCGCTCGATGTGCGCCTACGTTAAATCATGTTGTGAATATGTTTGGCACTCATAGGAAGTAGGAATTGACATATACGACTAGGGACAAGGAAAGTAGGGAGCCGCCAACAAGTTTTTAAGGAACTTGTAAACTGTTCACAGATCATAAAAGGCAACCACGATAAAGGGACAACAAAGGCAACAACGATTGACCCGTGAAGGTTACACCCCATTCATAATCCATGATATTACTAACTCCGTATGGTTCGGAACCATGAAAGGAGGATTGGGGATGATGGTACGAAGAGAGTCATGGAGTCACATTCGCCCGTATTGGCCTCTACTTGATTCTTATAGTGAAAAGTGATTCCTGCGACCTCAAAGGCTTACAAACAAAATATTCAATTTGCTCCAAACTATTATTATGCTAAATTGGTATAATATTAATGCAACACATAATTCTAAAATATTGTGATCACTTAAATTAACAACAAGATTAAAAAGGAACCTAAACCGGTTGTCCAAATTATCTTATTAGTCGTAATTTTCAATTACATATTCCCTTTAAACATGAAATATTGTGATCAATAAATAATAATAGAATTATCATTAATATTGGAAGCAATTTAATAATAATAGTGTTAGTCAAATCGTATAATAAATTAACCTAATCATGATACTAGCAATATAAAAATAAAATAAGTAATTAAATTAATTAATTACTCACATTCCGCTCGTTCCTTTAAATTGCTACATCATGAATAAACTGTTAGTAACTTCAATAAAAAAATATAAATCAAATGAAAATTAAATTAAATAAATGTATATTTGATTTAGTCCAAACCCTCAGTTATTTATACCTTTCACGCCTTGGTTTAAGGACGAAACCACGGGTTTAGTATAGACTCCTTAGAGTGCTTAAGGAAAGAATGGTGTAATTAGGAATATAGGTTTAAGGCTTAGAATATGAGAGAAAGAGAAGAGAATGATTTTTGGTGTAAAAGAGAGAAAGAGAGAAGGATTTGATGCCCCGAATTGCAGAAAGGAGGGGGGTATTTATAGGGAAAATGAGTAGAGGGAACACACGGAACCCTAAAAAAGGTTGCCGCGACACGGCAAAATGCACCGTGACACGGTACACTTTAGTGTGACACGGGGTAATTTGGTGTGACGTGGGAGTGAAACAAACCTACAGGGGATAAAACGTGTTTAGGTATTACGCAAAGCACGAAGCAATCCCGTGTCTTGGGATGTGCACCGTTACACGGGAAGACATGCCGTGACACGGTGGATTTTTTGCATCTAGATTATTAAGCGCGTGGGAAAGAAACGCGGAAAAGACACGGGAAAGCACCGTGACACGGTGATTTTTCACGGTACCATACCCCGTGCCACGTCATCATCTCCCGTGACGCGGGGAATTTTCGCGTGAAAAGAACGCGAAAACAAGCACAAGAATTCCCGTGTCACGGAGTCAGGCACCGTGAAACGTTGAGAATTCTCGTGTCACGGTACTTGTCCCCGTGCCACGTCACATTTCCCCCGCGACGCGATAGTTTTGTTGCTTGCACGACGATTCCAGTTTTTACGCGTTTTTCAAATTGCGATAACTTTTGATCCGTAACTTGAAATAAGCCATATAGTATATCCATTGGAAAGCTTATCAAGTCTAATTTCCAACCCAATTAGAATCAGGTCAAAATCATTTGTATATTTTAAGATATGACCATTTTTGTAGAAGGATGTTGATTTTGGACTGAGTTTAGTGTTTGGCTCATATTTTCTTCGTTTTAAATCGAAACTGGGCTTATGATATATTTTTGGGCTTATAATCAAAAGTTATAATAATAATTGGATCAAAATTATAAGACCATAAAATCAGTTTCTCTCAGTTTTGCGATGTGGACACGAAAAGTGGAAAACAAGTTATGGTTTAGGGAAATGAGCTAGGAATTGGGTTGTTTTATAAAATGGAAATATGAATTTAAGCACTCCAAGATTAAATACCAGCCTGATCAATAATGGCGGTGAAAGGCTGTTCATCATCGGGTTTGGTTTTGGGGAGACATTTTTAGGTGTCTATACTTACCCACTCTTCTTCTGTGTTTATTTTACTATTTAGGGTTAGGGTAGGAAGGCTCATATACTTAATCTTCTTCAGGATTTTTCATCTAATTCTTATGGATGGAAAATACAATACCTCTTTGATTATGTTCCCTAGACTGTTGTATGAACCAACAATGAATCAATTTCTCTGTTCAATTTTTTTTTCCCTAAAGATTATCTAGTTGAAGTAAATGGCTTCATATTAATTGTATTTGAGAGTGCTTTCTTTGATATTTTGCTGATTATATAATGCAGATGCATAATATATCCTAAAATGATTAATCTAATATTGTTTTGACAAGCTATACAATAGAAGGACACAAAGAGTTGATTGCCAAGTAAAGCAAGCAGCTCAATTATATTTTTATAGCTTTGTCAGTGAAACTATAACCGTTATAGCTGAGCTTATTCTGTAGCCCTTTGATCACTTAAATAAACCAATATGTTTATTGTTGGTGGTTGATTGATTAGAAGACCCGTTATTTTAACCCTTGTATCTATTTGTCATTTTATTGCAGACCATGGAGCTACTCGACCTTTGTGAAAAAGCCGAAATGTAATATGCTTTCTGCATAAACTGTTGTCTATAGATTTTGCCAGCATATTGTAGATTTCACGTTGTATCGGTATTATGTTGTGCCAATTTTTTCAGCGAAGCGCAAGCTTGGAAGATATGTTCAGGCTTGGGTTTATTAATAAAAAATTAGAGAAGGTTTTTTAGTAAAATAAATGTATTTTAAGAGTTTGTGATCCTATAGTTATTTATTGCAGAGGAGTGATTCTAGCTTGTATGATATGATGGCATAATTTCAATGAAAATGATCAATGAGACAAAAAAATCCATGTATTTTTATTTTGTGACTATAAATACTTTAAATGGAATATTGCAATGGGTGAGAGGTGACTGATGTCAATAATAAGAATGATGAGTTACGTTATATAAAGACGAATGTATGTGGATTATTAGAGTTCTTAATTAAGAAAGAATTTGATCATGCTTAAGATTATGTCTTACCTTATCAAGCAAAGTACTTGAAAAGCCTTAATTATGAGTTAAATTAAGAAAGTGAGTAAATATAATTTATGAATTTTTGAACTTATGGTGTATACAAGACTAAATGATATTGTTATGATCGTTTGGGTCATACATCAAATATAAACATAAATCCAAAGAGTTCTCCCAAAGACTAACATAACTGAGCACACGCTGTTTTTTAAAAAGTTTGTGCTCTTTTATGTCATTTTATCTTTGATATTTTTATAAGTTGTGGGTTTCGGATAATATGGAAATGAGGTTGAAATTTTGGAGTTGATTTAGTTTATGAAAACCTATTAGCTACATATAGTCATATGCACTTCCAATTTGAACCCGTGATATGTAAAAGATAATTGGTGAGTTGTATTTCTTTGCATAAAGTTACAACCTATAAATATACAAGCTAATGACTATTTTAAGTACATAATAAATTACAGCTAAGAGAGGGGAGGAAATTAAGGGATATAATTTACACAAGTACGTCAAAGATGACAAATTGCACAAAATTACGGAAGATAGTATGCTGCTAGTGACCATAATTATCTTTGTTAAGTCAAAGATAAGTTTGGAGAATAATATCAAGATAATTTCTTGCTATTATTCTCTTCATGCCCCCGCAAGACCGTCGACAGGTCAGAGAGTCCGATCTTGGTGAGAAGCAAGTCGAGTCGCGGTCTTGAAAGTGGTTTAGTGAGGAATTCTGCTAGTTGATCACCAATTGATACATGAGTCACACGCAAAGCTCCTTTTTGAACTTGTTCTCGAATGAAATAGAATGCAAGGGCCAAATGTTTCATTTTGGAATGAAAAACTGGATTTGCACTTAAATAGGTGGCACTCAAATTATCACAATATATGATTGGGGTGTTTGATATTCGAATGTCCATTTCAGTGAGGAGGTTTTAAACCCACATAATTTCTGCAGTAGTGGAGGCCACAACTCGATATTCGGCATCGGTGGATGATCGAGCCAATGATCTTTGTTTCTTTCAACACCAAGTGATACGATTACGACCAAGAAATACAACATGACCCATAGTAGAGGTGAAATCGTCTTTATCACCGGCACAATCCGCATCGGAGAAAGCATGTAGTATTGGAGGTGAATCTTTGTAAATGTTAACGCCTTTATCAAGTGTCCTGCTTAAATAACAAAGTAGGCGTTTGAGAGCTGCCCAGTGTTCTGTTGTTGGTCGATGCATATATTGGGATATCTTATTAATAGTATATGCAACATCCGGCCTGGTCAAGGTAAGATATAGCTGCCCACCGCAGCTCTATAGTCTTTCGGCTCTTCAATTACTACTCCTGAATTTGCAGTCAGTGTGTGAGTGATGACCATTGGAGTGGGAGATGGTTTGGTTTTTAACATCCCCATTTTCTCTAGTAGATCAGTGACATATCTCTATTGAGTGAGAAATATTCCCGATGGTGTAGGTATTACCTCTACCCCAAGAAAGTATGAGAGTTGGCCCAAATCCTTCAATGAAAATCTATTCGCCAAATTTTTAATAAAATGGTCAAGATAGCTTGCATTTGGACCTATAATAATAATATCATCCACATAAACAATGAGATAAATTGGAGTTGTAGAATGATGTAAAATGAATAAAGAAGTATCCGAGACACATATTTTGAAACCCAATCCAAGTAGGAAATTGGCGAATTCCGTGTACCATGCCCTTGGGGCTTTCTTGAGGCCATAGATAGCCTTCTTTAATTTGAAAATATGAGAGGGATGTTGTGGATCGATGAAACCGGGTGGTTGTGACATATATACTTCCTCTTGTAATGTACCTTGCAAGAAAGCATTATTAATGTCAAGTTGACAAAGACTCCATTGTTGAGAGACCGCAAGGCTAAGGAGAGTAAGAATTGTTGCTGGCTTAACAACTGGACTGAAGGTCTCCGTATAGTTGATGACAGGTCGTTGTTGGAACCCTTTTGCTACTAACCGAGCTTTATAACGCTCAATTGACCCATCGGGTTTGTATTTAATGAGAAATACCCATTTTCACTTTATAATGTTACGAGCAAATGCTGGAGGTACCAAGTCCCAAGTGGCTAGTTTAGTAACCGAGGCAATCTCTTCTTCCATAGATTTCTTCCAAAGTGGGTCTTTAAGAGCTTGTGGTGCTGTTTTTGGTATAATAGGATTTTCCTTAACAATAGCGGGGTTTGCATATTTTGGATTGGGTTTAGTGATGTTTTTTTAGATCGTGTAATGACGTCAGGTGGAGGATTGGGTGGTTTATTGGTATGAGTATGATCTTGGGTAGTGGAAATAGTAGTTGAGGATTCTAAGGTAGGTTGTGATGGATTATGATCAAATTGGGTTGTATGATCTGGACTTACTTGGTGGGGCATGTGTGTTGGGGTTTGTTGTTGTGATATGGTATTGAAGTTGGGTTAGGTTGACGAGGCAGTTGATGGGATGGATCGAGAGTCGATTTGGGGGTCGGTGGGTAGTGAGTTTGTTTGTGAGAAAGTTTGTTGTTCAGTAGAGGAAGTAATAGGAGTGGAAATTGATAAGTTTGGTGAATCTGGCACATGACTGCTTTGTTGAATAATAGGTAATGTGAGAGTGCACCAAGTGTTTGAGCTTGGAATAGGTGGTGAGGGTTCTTGAGAGGATAATCGATTATATGGGAATTCAGATTCCACAAATCGAACATGTCGAGATGTATAAACACGATTAGTGACGGGGTCCAAACAATGATATGCACTTTGAGTTTTAGAGTACCCAATAAAAATACAAGGCTTAGATTTAGGTTCTAATTTATGCTTAGTATATGGTTTAAGCCATGGATAGCACAAACAACCAAAACTCTTTAATTTGAGATAATTGGGCATGATTCCAAATAAACTATGATATGGAGATTTGTTGGACAGAGTAGGAGTAGGGAGCCTATTAATTAAATAAGCAGCCGTGGTAAAAGCATAAGACCAAAAGGTAAGTGGTAATTGAGCACAGGACAATAAAGAGAGACCAGTTTCTACAATGTGACGATGACGTCGTTTAGCAAACCCATTATGTTCCGGTGTGTGAGGAGGAGAAGTGAGATGAGATACACCATCTATCGTTAAGAAAGTGTTTAAATCTTATGAATACTGGCTTAGTGTCTGATTTGTTTTTGAGAGGGTAAAACCAAATGTACTTGGTGTAGTGATCTATAAACACAACATAATATTTGAAGTTATCAAGAGAGTAAACGGGTGAAGTCCATAAATCAGTGTAAACTATGTCAAGAGGGGCATGAGAATGTAAAGTGGATTTATTGAAAGGAAGCTTGTGACTTTTGTTACATTGGCATGCATCACAATTAAAAGAGAAGGAGCTAGTAGAGACATCAAGCTTAAACTCCGAAACAAGACTTTTGAAAACAGGTAATGAAGGATGACCAAGTTTATAATGCCAATCTATCCCATGTGTTTTAATAGTATATAATGCTAGGATATTTGACGTAGATGAAAGTTCACAAACACCATGTCTAGTTGGACCTTTGATAAGATGTGCCCCCGTGAGACTATCCTTAATTAAAAAGCAATTGTGTGAGAACTCAATAACAAGGTTATTGTCATAACATAATTGGGAAACAGAGATAATATTGCGGGTCATGGTGGGTGCACATAGAAAATCAATAAATAAATAGATTTTGAAGTGGTAGAGAGAGTAAGCGAACTAGTATGAGTGACTGGAATGCCAGTGCCATTGCTAATGACAATCTCTTCAGTTCCATTGTAAGGATGCAAAGAGGCTAAGTTTGACATAGTGTCAAGGAGCCACGTTGTGAGAGGTGTGGCGTTTCCGGTACTTGTAATGTGAGCCTGAGGTGGTGTCAACCGACCATTGGAAAGTGAGAAAGAAGCATGAGTTTGCTTTATTTATGTTCGGAGGCTTGTAACGAGAGGGTGTGAAGGTACACCATTGTTGTTAAGGGAAGCCATGAAAGGATATGCTTCTGGTGTGGGAAAACAATTTAAGATTTGGATTAAACCTGCTCCGATACCATGTAAAAGATAATTGGTGAGTTGTATTTCTTTGCATAAAGTCACAACCTATAAATATACAAGCTAATGACTATTTTAAGTACATAATAAATTACAGCTAAGAGAGGGGAGGAAATTAAGGGATATAATTTACACAAGTTAAAGATGACAAATTGCACAAAATTACGGAAGCTAGTATGCTGCTAGTGACCATAATTATCTTTGTTAAGTCAAAGATATGTTTGGAGAATAATATCAAGATAATTTTTGCTCTTATTCTCTTCATGATAGACGTCTAAGCAAAAAAAAAAATCAACATATTTCACAACACCGGGACACACTTACACTATTGCCATATAAACGAATGAAACGATCATACATTAACCCCAAACATAGCTACACTATTGCATTTTTAATAGAGATTTTACCAAACTACCTCACAAGCAACGCGCGTGTGGAGCCACACTAGTAAGGAAAAACTTTTTAACTTCCTCATACTCAGAGGCTGGCTCAACCCAGCAAGGTGTTGGACCAACACAGGGGTAAGGCGGTCATTTTCACGTTAAATGAAAGTATTGTAGTTGTATTGATACTGTTCATATGTATATCTATATGTCGTGGTTGTATTGTGGTTGTATTGACACTGTTCGTATGAAAGTATTGGTTCTTTATGTCGTGGAATGATTGTGATTGGTCCATTTTAGAAGGTTTGGATTGATGACATGGACGGTGGTTCCTTTATCATGTTTATTGGATGTTTGTGGTTAGGGTATTCTGGGAC